TCGAAGAGCAATATGCTTCTGCATCACAGAACGTTCCATAAATACGCTCCTTTTGTTTCAAAATGAGCATCTGAATTTATTTTATTTCACAAAAAACACTGAATTACAACTACAAGTCGAACCTTTTCAATGCTTTATCACGGAAAAGATTGATACACATGGAATTAATACACAAGGAATTATTCCAGAAATGGAATTATCCAAAATTACAGTTGTCACTGAACGTTGAGTTGTTGTTTATGATAGCTGCAGTTATCAGTTGCTACCACTCGTTGCATCATCAGCACTGATGACATTCTTGACATTTAGCTCAAATAAATCGAATTTTGATGATTACTTGGACAAGGTGAATTTTCTGTTGAGGGTTACCTGAATGAAACGAACATAGTGACTGACAGAGGACGAATCTCTAGCATAATTTCTACTCTCATGGATGCACCATTTGCGTTGTGCAGTAATCTAATCAACAGTCTCCGAAAAGAGGTTGGTAGTTTTGATCGTGGTGTGAGTTCAATGTGCTACTCCGAAACTTTTATCCTTCTTTACTACATTCATGCATTTTGCGATATGCGAACAGTAGTCGGAATGTTAGTGAAATGTGGATGCTGCTTTCAGAAGGCAAAAATACGATGCAAAATGAGTACTCCAATACAGGGTGCCTTCTGGATGATAGTCACCTCTTTGTGTTTTTGGGGCATCGGCCGTGCTCTACCTGCCGCTCTCCTCACACCACTTGCCGAAGATAATTTGGATAAAGACCGGTTTATATACTTCGTTGGTAAGTTTTAGTCACTAAACTTCTCCACATCTGCATGAATCACGAATATCTCACGACATTCCCATAAACCATACAAGGATCCTTACATCAAATGNGACGAAGATTGACAAATAGCATTGAAAATGAATATTCCGTTTTAGTTGTCACAATTACGCGCGTTCACCAAGTTGACATTTCCATGCGATTCTAGCTGAATTTTGTTTTTTTTTGCGGCTAAAATTCATAGAATCTTGAATAATGAAACATATCACATCGAAGGAAATGAATGTAAATCCCGGTCATATGAGTGCAAACCGCAATCAGGAATTCTCAACTTTTCAGCCGATAGAAAACGTGACCACAAACTTCTTCACTAGTTCATAGCTTTCAGCATTGTTCCTTGAGTTGAAATAATTAGCAGAAAATTTTCAGCCGCAATTTCTGCCACTAAAGTTGCTGGACCCGCACTGGGATTCATACTTCATGGACTAACTCAACGCTGGTACTATACACTTCAAGGTTTCTTACTAACCCTACTGTTTTACAATGTTGAACTGTAAAACCCGATCGGGCCGGCAGTTCGTGCCGATCGAAGGGGGATGATGGTCACTGTCAAGAAACGGGAT